CCTTTAAGGGGTCATTCACACTGGAATTGGCCGACACGTACAGCTCCGTGCTGCGTGCAGGGCCGTATCGGGCAGCTCCCGGGAAGGACAGGTCCTGCGTGTGATTAGTACGCAGCCTCTGTCCTTCTCTATGGGACTACGTGTCCATACGCCGCCCTACGCTCACCCGCCCTGCATGTCCGTGTGGGTGCGGGCGAGCGTACTCGAACGCTGACAGGATGGATCCTCTCTGCGTCCGAGCCAGGAAACACGCACCCGTACGGACCTGCCCATGGGGTGAGCGTAGGGTGGCGTATGGACACGTAGTCCCATAGATGAGGATGGGGGCTACGTACTAATCACACGCAGCACCTGTCCTTCCCGAGAGCTGCCCGATGCGGCCGTGCACGCAGCATGGGGCCGATTCCAGCGGGCCTAAGTGGTTAAACAAAAAGGCATTTGTAACACTTATACTAATGAACAGAACGGTGCTGAGAATTCAACACAAGCAATGACATCATCACACATTCATTATAACAATATATCTTACACCAGAGTGTCGCTGAATATTTTTACTCCCAATTTTTAATTGGGGGGGAGGGGGATAGTGCTTGACATATTGTATGCAATCTCAAATACTTCAGCTCACTCTTCAGCTAAATATAGCTCCATTGTTCTCCCTCCGCTACAAACAGCCGCTCCCAACACAACGAAAGTGTTAATTGCAAGAAAGTGGCGCAGTGGCGAATGCCAAATTTTGCGTTCCGCTTACAGTTACGGAGAAGGCTTGATCATTCATTTCCTTCACAAGATGGTTTCTATGACAGTTTACTGCGCCGAAAAAATATTCCCCGGTGGTAACATCTGACAAAGAGACGGTTTAGAAGGTGCTGATTAGGGAACGTGGAGGCGGGCACATTGAATATTTATTAAAAAAACACATAAATTCAGCGGTAAAAATGGCTGCTGGAGTCGACTAATTAGCGAAATGAATACGTATCCCCGTTACACGGCGCGCGGTGATAAAAAAAATGGAAAGGGCTTTGGCAAAACAATAAAAGGCAGTCGTATGGGGTAATAAAAGTAAGTCGCGAGCAGGTTTAACTACGGATATGTAAATGAATATTGCATGGATATTCCACTGAAGTGACAGCGCGCCTTAATTAATGCCGACGCCGAGGCTTGGCGCAGTGCTGAGGAAGCGGATGGTGAGCGCAAGGAACACCTGCAAAGATAGTAAACAATAAAATATTAAGTAGGGCCCCACCGTGGCCGGTTCCCCCCGCGAGCCATGAACAGCCGCCCAACCGCTATGCTGGGAACTGATAAGGCAATGAGTCTGCGGGAAAGAGGGATAACTCTCCTCTCCTGATATACTATACTCTGCTCTGCTGGAGGACTCTGCTCTTTCCTCTATAACTCTCCTCTCCTGAAATACTCTGCTCTGCTGGAGGACTCTGCTCTTTCCTCTATAACTCTCCTCTCCTGAAATACTCTGCTCTGCTGGAGGACTCTGCTCTTTCCTCTATAACTCTCCTCTCCTGAAATACTCTGCTCTGCTGGAGGACTCTGCTCTTTCCTCTATAACTCTCCTCTCCTGAAATACTCTGCTCTGCTGGAGGACTCTGCTCTTTCCTCTATAACTCTCCTCTCCTGAAATACTCTGCTCTGCTGGAGGACTCTGCTCTTTCCTCTATAACTCTCCTCTCCTGAAATACTCTGCTCTGCTGGAGGACTCTGCTCTTTCCTCTATAACTCTCCTCTCCTGAAATACTCTGCTCTGCTGGAGGACTCTGCTCTTTCCTCTATAACTCTCCTCTCCTGAAATACTCTGCTCTGCTGGAGGACTCTGCTCTTTCCTCTATAACTCTCCTCTCCTGAAATACTCTGCTCTGCTGGAGGACTCTGCTCTTTCCTCTATAACTCTCCTCTCCTGAAATACTCTGCTCTGCTGGAGGACTCTGCTCTTTCCTCTATAACTCTCCTCTCCTGAAATACTCTGCTCTGCTGGAGGACTCTGCTCTTTCCTCTATAACTCTCCTCTCCTGAAATACTCTGCTCTGCTGGAGGACTCTGCTCTTTCCTCTATAACTCT